TGTGACCTCTTGGTCGCACCGTTTTCCGCGTCGCAGTCGAGCGGCCGCTTTCTGGAGTCCGCAATCTCCGGGGAGGGACACGTCTCCATTCCTGAGTCAGCGGCCATCTTGGTTCGCTCGTTGCGCGCACGTAACACACACACAGGCACAAGAACAGGCGGTAACACACACAACACAGGAGAGAAGATAGAGATATATACACACGGAACTAGAACCGCACACTCCTACCGATCAGTGGCGGGGAGGGGGAAGGGGGAGGAGGAAGGCCAGAACGGCAAAGAGAGAATGAGGAAGAGAGAGAGAGAGAGAGAGAAAGAGAAGGGGAGAAACGAAACGAAGCGCGCGAGCGAGACGAACGATGGGACGATGGAGATGTGGTGGAGGAGGCAACAGCAGACGATGTGTCGGGGACAAGTGTCCGTGTCCCCGAGAATGAGGTGCCAGGCGCGAAGTGGAGAGGCACGACGTTACCCGCTCTCGGACGTACGGACGCGCGGAGTACGACCACGACGGAGTTGCCGCAGAACCCACTCTCGGTCCCGTTTACCGCAGATATAACCGCGCGCGGGAGGGGTGTATTGCAACAAACCAGAGGTAGAGGAGGAGGAGGAGGAGGTGGTGGTACCCGCGCCACGGACGTACGCGCGCACGTACGGACGGACGGACGAACGAACGAACGAACGAACCGTGCGGATGAGTGAACGAACAAGTGACACACGCGGGGTGCCGCGTCTCACTGGCGACTGCTCGCGGCTCCCTTGCCAACCAGCTGGTTGATACTCGGTGTGGTGTGCGGATTCGCGTACACCTCTCTAGGCTCGTCGCGTCTTCGTCTAGCCTACGGCGGGACTCCTATCGCTAGCCAGTTTCTCTCTCTCTCTCTCTCTTTCTTCTGCGCGCGCAGTTTCTCTCTCTCTTTCTCTTTTCCGTTCTCTCCGTCAGCCCTATCGCGCGCGAGCTCCGTTTAACAGTAGCGGAGCGAGCCGAATGCATCGCGGGTGCCGTTGTTCCCCACTTTCGGAAACTTGGGCTCGCAGAGATGACACTTCCGGGAGTCCTTCGGCAAAAACGCGGGGCGCGCGCGCGCGCGTTGCAACGCGAGCGCGCTCGTTACATAAGCGACCAGGGGTGGGAGGGGAAGGGAGGGCGCGGACGTAACCCGACGCTGTTCTGCCTGTCCCCGATGCTCCGCGGCTCCGCATCGTCCTGCGCCTCCGAACGCGCGCGCTTTAGATCGAATTTATGGTCGCGACTCGCGCGCAGTCTCCGCGTTTCTTATTGTGACATTTATTCGTCGCAATCGCGGGAGTTTTCTATTCTCGAAAACTCAGCGTTTTCCCGCCGCGACGATCCCTTATTTCAATTTCTTTTTCCACGGCGATCGCCCGAGCTGCCATCGCGATCTTTTTCATCGTATCAATACTCCTTGGATTAATTCTAGAAAATAAAAAATATCTTCATAATCGGATAGAATGTTCTTATCTTAGATCGAACAAAATGCAACACGCGTGACGACTTGGAATATTTTTCTCGGGACACCCGCTATACACGGTGTTATGAATCTCAATGCAATGAGAATATATATAGTTACCGTTCTTCTCGCCATCGACGACGACGGACGATGACGACCTTTGCGCCTCCATAAACGCGATAGCGCGATTTCGCCTACCGCTGCATCCATGCGCGACAATGACGACGGATCGTGCGATAGCGCTCGATTTCTTATCCTTGGTCTATAAATGTATTAGAAAATTAAAGACAGCAAGTACACCTCCTCCTCCCGGGCGTATGAGAGAGAGATTATCCAAGCCGGGAGCAAAGTTCCTCTATTATGGGAGATCAAATCTGCGATTCCTTCACGCTTCAATCCCTCGTCGGTCGCGATCCGCCTTCCTCGCATTCCTCGTTTCATATATTTATAATCTAAGGAAAAAAAAAGTACACTCAAAAAGATGTCTTGCTGATATAGGTAGATTTCTAGGTGTCACAACAAAAATTTATCGCTATTTTTTGTATCTGTTAGAATATTGTCTGTTACATATAGAATTTATAGCAGCAATATTCTAATAATATCTTCTAGAAAATTTAGGTCCCATTGCCAAATGTTAATCACTGCATTGGATAAATATGAGTTTCGATACTACAGCTAGAACACTCTTTGTGAGAAATATAACTGCCAATTATAACTGCAGCATCGAAAAATTGAGAGAAATTGTTTAAAAGAGCTGGATAGATTGGGCGCGTTATACAAATATGTTAGATGTGAGGATTATATATTCATTTGTTTCTTGCGGCTAATTTTTTCTGTGTACCACAGCCAAACTTTATAACATGTATGATTGGCCTTAACATGGATAGGCGCCACAGAAAAACATTCTTGCTAAATTTCACAAACAGTTCAGATATAAATTCTGTCTCTGTCACTTAGATTGATTAAATGCGAATCATATGCGATATCACAGTATTTGCTAATCATTTATGTACCTCAGTTAATTTTGCGCACCCAGAAAATTTTTGCTGTAGTTGCAAAACCACTTTTTTGAGTGGTAGCATGATAGAGTTTAACGTAGAATCAAACGCGCGTGCGGGGCAGATAAGAATTATATTTAAAAAAAAGTTACTTTGCATTCGAACTTGAGCTACTTCCAGCGTCGTATTTATCTCGGCATCGATTGCGATTTGATTTGAATAAATCTCTGCTGGTATTCGTCGATGAAACTTGTTTGGAAACATAAGACCGGATACACGAATATCATTTTATACAACGTATGTAGAAGCGCCATAGACGTCAATTACGCATCATTGTTAGCTATTTTCCTCACGATGATTAGTCATACAATACACATCGGCACCTGGCTATCTTACACGCCGATACAAGAAGCGCCCATCTGGTGAACGTTGTGATATTTATGACATCTAATGCAGTGGAGTCATCGTTTGCGCATGACACATTGTACACTCTGGATGATCTAGAAAATCAAGGCATAATAAAGCAGGATAGAATACAGATATATCGTTCAAGGTTTTGAATGCAGCATTGGAAAAAGTGGGACGGCAAGATCGGGCTTTCAATTAATCGCGCTCTCAGTCATATCACACGTATTTGTAGCTCGAGGGGGAAAACATTTTTCGATAGATTCCTGGATCGTGAATAAGCCATAAATCAGAGTCGAGTAACGTAGATTGTTTGGTAAAAAAAAAAAAAGCATTTGGTACGAGTATTTGATAGCGAATCGAAACGATCGTATTTCGACTAAAATGTCAAGGCGTGAATAATTTTTCGACTGTACGAACGTGAAAAAGGATTCCGTGAAATTTTGACAGAAAACGATACAATAGAAAAAGCAAGATATTTAATAATCTCGTAGAGAGATACAGCGTCAACGAGTAAATTATGAATGTAATTTTGGAATCTTTTCTAGTCTTCGACTGTAAGAACTGTGTTGCCTCTTTTATCTTAAGTGCTTCTCAAACACCTGCACGCTTCTTATTTATCGCCAATAAAATCGTAGACGGAAATATGAACTATTAATAACTCTCAAAAGATATAGATGATGTACTAGTGCATCCAATTGAATAATAATATTACATTAAATAATAATAATAATATATCATAGTGTTAATTATCTTGTTTTAATAGCTTATGCTACTGTATAAATTTATATACGACAGTTTATAGTCCAACTGAATAAGAAACATGCGTGAATCTGGAACACGCGCGTGGCAATATAATTCGAATCGATCGATCGATCTTTATTCGGCTCAAACTGAAACGTAAACAAACGCTCGGTCATTGTCTTTCCTCGAATTTTGACAAATATAAGAGCGTTGGTTTTATTCGCGACTCGATATGCAATCTCTCCGCGAACAGACGAGCGCATTATCTATCAGTTTTCTGTACTATCATTGATTTAATTTAATTAACTTACTTAATTTTCCGTTCAATTAAATATCGTTCGGCGATATACTTAATAGTCCCGATAACGCGACCGTTAACGGCCGACTATTAATGCAGATCGGGCTGAAGGGAAGAGAGGGAACGCTTTTCGAAACGAAATATTGTGATAATCGGTTAAGGATTATTATTCGTCGGGGAGAGAAATCACATCTAATGATAGAACTCGTTAATGTAAAAAATCTCACCATTTTTTATGTCTTTCGCGATTGGCTAATAAACATGGAATTTTTTCCCGATATTGCGCCACATCTATCCAGCATCCAAGTACGAGGAGGGAACGAGTATCTCTTTCTCTCTCCCTTTCATATCCTCTCCGTCCTCTCTGTCATTCTCGACGTATAATGTAATAACTATGATCAACCGGTTTTAATTCTTGCATTTTCGATTCCAACAAAATCAACTTCCGTCGTTCTCTTCATCTGAAAAGCGAAAGGAGATTAGATTGGAGGAAAATTCTTTTTTAGAAACTCGCAAAAAGATCGTGTACGAATATATGTGAACTTTCGAAAAACATTAACTTGAACACAATTACATCCTTCAATTACCTAGAGATACTTAAAAGGACATAAAAACGAAGAATGACGTTGAATCGAATTTTCCGTTAAGGAATAATTGGATGCAAATCATTCATAGGGAATGTCCGCTAGCATGAGACAGTCCCGTTCCGTAAAATTGTCAACCCCCAGGTTCGCAAAATTCAACGGGGGTGTTCCGCGCGTGCGTCCGATGTCCTTGCGAGTTACACGAGTCATCGAGCCAGACCCCCGCGTGTCTTTTTTTTTTTTTTTTTTTTAGACGACTCCGGGTTAGTCGGTCGTACATATACATATACATACATATGATACTCTCATACACATATGCATCGCACACGCAGGCGCGACGCATACAACAGAATGCGCTTATCCCAAGGCCGCGACTTTACTGCTCGCTGAGATACCGCTTGCACCGACAAGTCGACGCGTCCGTCGTATGATCTCATTCTCTTGCGCGCGGACGTCCTTCGTGCTTACGATTTTTTTTTTTCCATCATTTTTCTAACGCCAGATCAAATTGTCGCACTCCAAGCGCGCGCGCTCCTCCTTCCCACGCATGTCCCAGTACCTACGTGTCATCAGGGCTGTATTAAGATACAGGGTGCTTCATCTTATCTATCCGGAGTGTATACGTACCGTAAAAATGGAAATGAACAATTGTCTGCCAAACAATGACTCTATAAATAACTTGAAATCGTCCTGTATATATAAAACGTAGCATTTAAATACGTACTGAGCTCGACAAATTCGTTGCCAATTTACTATCATAAGTTTGGCAAGTGTGAAGTATCCGCTGACACGTGATTGAATGCGATAGATGTATCGATGATGTCGCTTTCTTGCAGCAGACTTCGTTTTGACACACAGTATCACACGATTGGCTATCAAATACAGAATTTTAAATTTCTTCATCTGACAGCCAATCATGTGGTATTGTGTGTTACACTCTGTCATCTGTGTACCTTGCTGGAAAACACACATTGTGTCGCTTTGCGACACATACCTGGTTCCATCGAAAAAATAAATAACAATGATATTTAAATGTCTCCTGTCAAAAAATTATATCCCAAAAAATTTTATCCAGCTCTGATGTCTCTCTACGTGGGTGCTGGACATGTGTGTGATGCACATGATAAAGGGCATGTATATACATATATATATGCATGCTCTACAATGTATCTATATCTATACATTTCGTTGTTGCGAAGATTAGAAAATCGTGGAGCATGATAGAACCGAACGCAGATAAGAATATAATGACAGTTTTAATGTGATAAATGTTTACGGTGTGTAACACAATGCACAGTCGATGAAGTTTCCTCCAGTAAGCGCATTCGTGCGGTTATACATGTGTGACCACGTAAGGAAACGTCTATGACGAAGGTTATGGCATAACCGGATAAGCAGATCGCCGAGGTTTCTCATTTCGCTAAAAGTATGGGAAACTTTATGGGTGACATCGTGATCTGGTGCGTTTTAATTTTGATTTTGTGTTAGAAATGCAAATACTATTAAAGCGTCAGCTTAAGATTCCGTTTTTCTCGTTCGCACACATCAAGAGAGTGTGTAGGCAATTAGATGATATAATTTGGTGTACAATTGTATCTGTCAAATATTTTTTTTTTTATAATAAATTATAGTATGTTTGATATACCATAAGATAGATACGAATTCATATCTTTATATAAGAGATATAAACACAAAGTGTTTTACGCTACTTTGTATCAATATATAAGGATTTATATAATTCATGTTTATTGCAATGTAATTAAAAAAGTGTATTTGGTAGCTTGATGCTACTACTTTCAGTCAGTATCATATTCGGAATCAGCGAGATCATCAAATCGTTGACAAATAATGGAGAAGATATTCTCATATTTTTTTTTTATAATAAATTATAGTATGTTTGATATACCATAAGATAGATACGAATTCATATCTTTATATAAGAGATATAAACACAAAGTGTTTTACGCTACTTTGTATCAATATATAAGGATTTATATAATTCATGTTTATTGCAATGTAATTAAAAAAGTGTATTTGGTAGCTTGATGCTACTACTTTCAGTCAGTATCATATTCGGAATCAGCGAGATCATCAAATCGTTGACAAATAATGGAGAAGATATTCTCATATTTTTTTTTTATAATAAATTATAGTATGTTTGATATACCATAAGATAGATACGAATTCATATCTTTATATAAGAGATATAAACACAAAGTGTTTTACGCTACTTTGTATCAATATATAAGGATTTATATAATTCATGTTTATTGCAATGTAATTAAAAAAGTGTATTTGGTAGCTTGATGCTACTACTTTCAGTCAGTATCATATTCGGAATCAGCGAGATCATCAAATCGTTGACAAATAATGGAGAAGATATTCTCATATTTTTTTTTTATAATAAATTATAGTATGTTTGATATACCATAAGATAGATACGAATTCATATCTTTATATAAGAGATATAAACACAAAGTGTTTTACGCTACTTTGTATCAATATATAAGGATTTATATAATTCATGTTTATTGCAATGTAATTAAAAAAGTGTATTTGGTAGCTTGATGCTACTACTTTCAGTCAGTATCATATTCGGAATCAGCGAGATCATCAAATCGTTGACAAATAATGGAGAAGATATTCTCATATTTTTTTTTTATAATAAATTATAGTATGTTTGATATACCATAAGATAGATACGAATTCATATCTTTATATAAGAGATATAAACACAAAGTGTTTTACGCTACTTTGTATCAATATATAAGGATTTATATAATTCATGTTTATTGCAATGTAATTAAAAAAGTGTATTTGGTAGCTTGATGCTACTACTTTCAGTCAGTATCATATTCGGAATCAGCGAGATCATCAAATCGTTGACAAATAATGGAGAAGATATTCTCATATTTTTTTTTTATAATAAATTATAGTATGTTTGATATACCATAAGATAGATACGAATTCATATCTTTATATAAGAGATATAAACACAAAGTGTTTTACGCTACTTTGTATCAATATATAAGGATTTATATAATTCATGTTTATTGCAATGTAATTAAAAAAGTGTATTTGGTAGCTTGATGCTACTACTTTCAGTCAGTATCATATTCGGAATCAGCGAGATCATCAAATCGTTGACAAATAATGGAGAAGATATTCTCATATTTTTTTTTTATAATAAATTATAGTATGTTTGATATACCATAAGATAGATACGAATTCATATCTTTATATAAGAGATATAAACACAAAGTGTTTTACGCTACTTTGTATCAATATATAAGGATTTATATAATTCATGTTTATTGCAATGTAATTAAAAAAGTGTATTTGGTAGCTTGATGCTACTACTTTCAGTCAGTATCATATTCGGAATCAGCGAGATCATCAAATCGTTGACAAATAATGGAGAAGATATTCTCATATTTTTTTTTTATAATAAATTATAGTATGTTTGATATACCATAAGATAGATACGAATTCATATCTTTATATAAGAGATATAAACACAAAGTGTTTTACGCTACTTTGTATCAATATATAAGGATTTATATAATTCATGTTTATTGCAATGTAATTAAAAAAGTGTATTTGGTAGCTTGATGCTACTACTTTCAGTCAGTATCATATTCGGAATCAGCGAGATCATCAAATCGTTGACAAATAATGGAGAAGATATTCTCATATTTTTTTTTTATAATAAATTATAGTATGTTTGATATACCATAAGATAGATACGAATTCATATCTTTATATAAGAGATATAAACACAAAGTGTTTTACGCTACTTTGTATCAATATATAAGGATTTATATAATTCATGTTTATTGCAATGTAATTAAAAAAGTGTATTTGGTAGCTTGATGCTACTACTTTCAGTCAGTATCATATTCGGAATCAGCGAGATCATCAAATCGTTGACAAATAATGGAGAAGATATTCTCATATTTTTTTTTTATAATAAATTATAGTATGTTTGATATACCATAAGATAGATACGAATTCATATCTTTATATAAGAGATATAAACACAAAGTGTTTTACGCTACTTTGTATCAATATATAAGGATTTATATAATTCATGTTTATTGCAATGTAATTAAAAAAGTGTATTTGGTAGCTTGATGCTACTACTTTCAGTCAGTATCATATTCGGAATCAGCGAGATCATCAAATCGTTGACAAATAATGGAGAAGATATTCTCATATTTTTTTTTTATAATAAATTATAGTATGTTTGATATACCATAAGATAGATACGAATTCATATCTTTATATAAGAGATATAAACACAAAGTGTTTTACGCTACTTTGTATCAATATATAAGGATTTATATAATTCATGTTTATTGCAATGTAATTAAAAAAGTGTATTTGGTAGCTTGATGCTACTACTTTCAGTCAGTATCATATTCGGAATCAGCGAGATCATCAAATCGTTGACAAATAATGGAGAAGATATTCTCATATTTTTTTTTTATAATAAATTATAGTATGTTTGATATACCATAAGATAGATACGAATTCATATCTTTATATAAGAGATATAAACACAAAGTGTTTTACGCTACTTTGTATCAATATATAAGGATTTATATAATTCATGTTTATTGCAATGTAATTAAAAAAGTGTATTTGGTAGCTTGATGCTACTACTTTCAGTCAGTATCATATTCGGAATCAGCGAGATCATCAAATCGTTGACAAATAATGGAGAAGATATTCTCATATTTTTTTTTTATAATAAATTATAGTATGTTTGATATACCATAAGATAGATACGAATTCATATCTTTATATAAGAGATATAAACACAAAGTGTTTTACGCTACTTTGTATCAATATATAAGGATTTATATAATTCATGTTTATTGCAATGTAATTAAAAAAGTGTATTTGGTAGCTTGATGCTACTACTTTCAGTCAGTATCATATTCGGAATCAGCGAGATCATCAAATCGTTGACAAATAATGGAGAAGATATTCTCATATTTTTTTTTTATAATAAATTATAGTATGTTTGATATACCATAAGATAGATACGAATTCATATCTTTATATAAGAGATATAAACACAAAGTGTTTTACGCTACTTTGTATCAATATATAAGGATTTATATAATTCATGTTTATTGCAATGTAATTAAAAAAGTGTATTTGGTAGCTTGATGCTACTACTTTCAGTCAGTATCATATTCGGAATCAGCGAGATCATCAAATCGTTGACAAATAATGGAGAAGATATTCTCATATTTTTTTTTTATAATAAATTATAGTATGTTTGATATACCATAAGATAGATACGAATTCATATCTTTATATAAGAGATATAAACACAAAGTGTTTTACGCTACTTTGTATCAATATATAAGGATTTATATAATTCATGTTTATTGCAATGTAATTAAAAAAGTGTATTTGGTAGCTTGATGCTACTACTTTCAGTCAGTATCATATTCGGAATCAGCGAGATCATCAAATCGTTGACAAATAATGGAGAAGATATTCTCATATTTTTTTTTTATAATAAATTATAGTATGTTTGATATACCATAAGATAGATACGAATTCATATCTTTATATAAGAGATATAAACACAAAGTGTTTTACGCTACTTTGTATCAATATATAAGGATTTATATAATTCATGTTTATTGCAATGTAATTAAAAAAGTGTATTTGGTAGCTTGATGCTACTACTTTCAGTCAGTATCATATTCGGAATCAGCGAGATCATCAAATCGTTGACAAATAATGGAGAAGATATTCTCATATTTTTTTTTTATAATAAATTATAGTATGTTTGATATACCATAAGATAGATACGAATTCATATCTTTATATAAGAGATATAAACACAAAGTGTTTTACGCTACTTTGTATCAATATATAAGGATTTATATAATTCATGTTTATTGCAATGTAATTAAAAAAGTGTATTTGGTAGCTTGATGCTACTACTTTCAGTCAGTATCATATTCGGAATCAGCGAGATCATCAAATCGTTGACAAATAATGGAGAAGATATTCTCATATTTTTTTTTTATAATAAATTATAGTATGTTTGATATACCATAAGATAGATACGAATTCATATCTTTATATAAGAGATATAAACACAAAGTGTTTTACGCTACTTTGTATCAATATATAAGGATTTATATAATTCATGTTTATTGCAATGTAATTAAAAAAGTGTATTTGGTAGCTTGATGCTACTACTTTCAGTCAGTATCATATTCGGAATCAGCGAGATCATCAAATCGTTGACAAATAATGGAGAAGATATTCTCATATTTTTTTTTTATAATAAATTATAGTATGTTTGATATACCATAAGATAGATACGAATTCATATCTTTATATAAGAGATATAAACACAAAGTGTTTTACGCTACTTTGTATCAATATATAAGGATTTATATAATTCATGTTTATTGCAATGTAATTAAAAAAGTGTATTTGGTAGCTTGATGCTACTACTTTCAGTCAGTATCATATTCGGAATCAGCGAGATCATCAAATCGTTGACAAATAATGGAGAAGATATTCTCATATTTTTTTTTTATAATAAATTATAGTATGTTTGATATACCATAAGATAGATACGAATTCATATCTTTATATAAGAGATATAAACACAAAGTGTTTTACGCTACTTTGTATCAATATATAAGGATTTATATAATTCATGTTTATTGCAATGTAATTAAAAAAGTGTATTTGGTAGCTTGATGCTACTACTTTCAGTCAGTATCATATTCGGAATCAGCGAGATCATCAAATCGTTGACAAATAATGGAGAAGATATTCTCATATTTTTTTTTTATAATA